ATTAAAATACAAATAATTTCACTTGTTTTGCTTATCGTTCATTGGATAGATAAGCCATGTGGAGGGGGGGGGTTTGTTTGTTTTATGTTACTTCAATATCAGGAAGCATAGGTATTTCCGAGCAAATACTTTAATTGGCTTTCTAAAAACAGGAGTATAACTAAATTCCTTTGCTCATGTGTTCAAGGAAATTGAATTTGAGGAGGAGTGAACTTGAAAAGACCAGCAAAGCAAACTAACGCACACAGTTCAGTGAGATGCTTGCAGATAATTGTTTTTATTAGCCAGAAAGTTTTAATATTAATTATTCTTTCTGAATATGTCTTCATATATGAAATTTTAAATATATTAGAACTGTTTATATACAGATGTCACAAAAGAATCCTGCCAGTTTTCTGACTAAATATCATAAAGATAGGCAGAAAAGAGCAACAAGTGAAGAAACATCATTATGGACATGGGTGGGGGGAGAAGAGATAGATAAGTCATGTACTAAGAATAGGCAACAAAGAATTTCCTAAACCGGTGATATTTTAGGAACCAACTAGAAAAAGAAAAAGATGAAGGCTAAAAGAGACATGGAAGAGGGCAGTGGAAAGAGAAGTGAAGGAATTTAGAACAAGATGGTTAGTATTAGAAAGAACAGCTGGCATTCATTTCCATACAGCTTCCATACCTCATACAACATGAGGGACACTGCGAACCTATGCACTTGCCTTTCATATTAACAGTGTGCACCATACTCATGGTGTCATTGGTTATGTATTAATTCAGATTTCCAAAATGTACAGGACATCCACACAGCACTGGGGAGGTAAATTCTACCACTGGAGAATCTACAGCATAGAGTTGGATATGTATAGAACCAAACAGTTTGAACCGTTAAGCACATGATTATATTGTGCTTGTGTGTGCGCGTGTGTGTGTATCTTTCCTTCTCACCCATACTATAAAAACTTTCCCCTACAGAATAATCACCTTTTTGGACCATATCTTTTCATGTTCTAGATTTAATACAGGTAAAAACAAACAAACCTTTATCAGAATGTGTCCTTATTAGTCAAAGTGCTTGATGTACTTAAAGGGATTTCTGGGATGGGGATCATCACACCAACTCTACATTTACTATGTCTTTTCTCTTCCCTTTTGCTTTTTGTAGCCAACTTCACTTGAAATTCAATACCATTATATCCATTGGGAGTTTGGTCACTTTTCCATATATTCCTATGATTATGAATGCTTCATAATAGCTTATTGTTCCCCTTGCTGTATGTTGATTCTTGTTTTATACAGCAGATTAAAGGAGAATAAGCAATATCTATCCTTTTTTGAAAGTTCCTTAATATATTTGCAAATAAAGAGCCAGGTCTTCTCCTGTTATTCATGAATGCAGCTGATTTACACCAAATGAAGATCTGATCTATAAAGTGCAAAATCAGTATAGTCTACATATGGTAAAGTACAGGGCTAAGTACAGACAGTCAAAAAGCCTGAGGCTGAATTGACTCAGTCTTTGCAGGTTAGTCTAAGATGCAGAGATTAAATTGAAACAGAAGTGAACAGACATTTACCTTTGAAACAGAAAATGCAGCCACATGCCTACAGTGGCTCAAGCCAGAAGCCAAGGGGAGAAGGGGGGGTGCTAGAGCACAGCTTGCTGGCATGTAGCCAGTATGGACTGTGTGCTCTATTCCTCTTCCTGCTGCCCAAAAGTCTCTGGGATTTGCAGTCCAAAATCAAAGCAGCAGAACTCTGCAGGGTCACTCATGACTTCCTCTTCCTGCTTCCAGGTGCCTCTGGGATTTGTAGTCTAGTCACAGCAAGCAGTAATTTTGATCAGGGGAAGGGGTGGTTAACCCCTATCCCTGGCCCCAGACCCCAGCTGGGGTTTGCCTGGGGGGGCAGTCCCCTGCAGCCTGAGCTGCATCCCCAGCTGGGCTTGCCCCCTCTGCACCCTTGTCATCCACCCCTCACTGTTCCAGCTAGGGAGCAGAGGGGCAGGTTGGGGCCAGCCCTGGTTTCTGGAGCAGACAGCCCAGCCCAGGGCTGCAAAACATGCTGGGGGGCTGTGTTTTAACTTGAACCAGGAACAGGTCTGGGATAGAAGCATCATAAACTGGTTTAACTCAAATCAGTTAAGTCTGATGCTACTTTCAACCAGGTTTATCTTAAACCAGTTCAGACATTTTGAAACTGGTTTATAGGCACTGAGCTTCTGTTCTGTTACAGGTTTAAACCAGTTTCTGATTACTTAAACTGTTTTTTTATGTTTAACTTCTGTCCCTAGCCCTGATGTTTGGGCAGAGACTTTTGGAAGGAATTATAGGAGAAAATAATTAGTCTCAGGCCTCAAAGTAGCAGCAGAGCTTCAGAATCAATAGTACAGAACCTTAGGGTAGATTGATAGTAGTCTTCTTGTCATCTTCATGACAGTGGTAAAAGTAGGCCACCAGAACCCCCTTATGCATCAAGATAAGAGGCACACCCTAGGACCTGCACTAAAAAGCAATATATGCTTCTGGAATGAAATTCTGCTCATTTGCTTGCTCTTCCCTTCAAAAACCAGTAGTAACTAGTTCCATTCCATTAACATCCATCCTTGACACATGAGGTTAGGAGAAGTTTCTCCAAAATACAGCACCAGTAACAAATACCTGTCATTTTTTTCTCAGTTTAGTGGAAACTTTTTTGTTTTTTTAATTATTATTTTAAGTGGTAGGCATAATATTATTGGCTATACTGCATTAATGACAAATGTTGAGTAAGTAGGTCATTTTAATTTAAGCAAAAGCATCTAGAATGAGCGGTTGGGAAGAGAAACAAACTGAAGTGTCATTTGTCCCTTATTTTTTGTGTCATCTACTTACTAGTCTCATGTTAATTTTTACAATCTACATGGTATTTTGTTCCTTTGTAAAGTTAAAAGAAACTGTAGTGACAATGGCACTTCTCTTGAAGATGAGAGAAAAATAGAAATAGTAATGAAAGTTAAAAGGAAAGGGAAAAACTGGTAAAAAGTAAAAGAAGAATGTAAAATTGCATGAGCTTGACTTTGTAAGGGTGATGAAAATGAGTTACAAGTATTTAACCTAAAATATATACCTCTCTGACCTCTCCTATTGGCTGATTCTGTGGTGCTGTGGTATGTCATCATGGTCCATATTTTAGCATCACAGAAGACGGCGAGTCAAAAGGCCATGATTTCAAGGGGAGTAAAACAAAATATTCAATGTAGAATTGTTAAAGTATTGAAAAGATGACTTGCCTTGTTTGTGCATTTAGCACAATCTTAAAACTTATTTTTATTTTTAAAAATAACTGGATATCTCTAGAAAGCCTCTGTGAAAAACTTCTCCCTTTCTTCTGCATGTTCACTATAGTAATAATCCAAAATATTTTTTAAGAAAATTGGTATTTTTACATAGAGGTGGGTAATACATCATACCCAGTCTTGAAGATGATATTGTGCTGGTGATTTCATAGCCATAGAACTGTTACAACTGAACATCTACGACTGATATCTTTGGTCATATGTTTTTAAATGCATGAAGCATTTCAAAATGCTTAACATAAAATATTGCTGTCTACAGTATAAGAGAAAAAAAAACCTTTAAGATTATTGCATTTCTAGTTATGCCACAAGCCTGGAGGAACAAATATGAAATAACATATTAAACAATAGAGGATCCCAGGAGACATAATCTTGACTATATTTGAGCAATTTCACATAATTCTGAGATTGCCGCATTCTATGCTATTATTATACATATGGAATTTGCTTGCAGCAGTTTTCTCATCATAAAGATATGATGAAACGATAACATATTATCAGAGAATATTTCAGCAGCAATATTAATTGTTCTGATGTTTACCAAAAGAAAGTAAACCATCTTACCATTTAAAATACCTTAACAAAAAAATTAAGCAAAGTGTGTAAGGGGTAGTTAACAATATGGATTTTTATTGAAGCCTGAATATTAGAAGGAATGGAGCTCTCATCGTTTTAAAGTCTTTGTAATTACAAATGCCATTCATAAAAAGTTACAGATTATCTGCAAAATAATGTTTTTAGAATATGAACGAATATGAAAGGAGGCATTAATGCAATTTATGGTAGAATAATGTGTGGTAAGAATGAAATGTGGTCTTTCTTCAAGAGATTAGCTAAATCTATTGGTATGATTATTTGATTTGCAGTGAGATTTTAAAGTGTATTTAGTTGCTTGTTCCCTACTAACAAAATGCCACACACTGTATTAATAAAGAGTAGTGAATGACTGCTCAGAGAACTAAAACAGAACTGCACATTAAAACTGATTTTGTTTACTTTCACAATAAGTAAGGGCATGCTACAAATAAAAAAAATAAGTGTTTTACTGGTAATACCACATTCTTAGCTCAAATGAATTCATAGTACTTTTCCCTGCCTTTCTCTTAGAAAGAGAAATAATAATACATTTTATGGAGAATATCCATTTTTGAATTGTCATCCCATTTGTACACAGTGTCCATGGAAATCAAAACCCACATTGAGATCAAACTCCTGGTAAGATAATTCATCAAAACTAACCCCAAGGATAAAGTCAAAACAAATAGAAAATATTTGTGTCCAAGATAATTTGAGGGTCCTAAACTGAAAGATATCATAAGGTGCATTATATTTTTTGAGCAATTGATTTGATGATTTAAAAAAAAAGAAAAGAAAAAAAATCATTAAAATTTCTTTTCTAAGATGCTAAAAATATTTTATAGATTTTATATTTAGTGCTGACAATGTACTCTGTGCTGCACATGGCACAAAACAATATTGACTCATATAAAAAAAGACTAGAATTTAGAAACAAACTCAGGCCTCCAACTTGGTAGTTTTAAGTTAGACCAATATGCCATCCCCAGAAAAAACCCTTTGATTATTCTTATAATTTACTTCTTACATAAGTACACAGTAATATATACAATTTGTGAAATATATAATGGTTCTTTTTCTGAATCTTGATGAAGGTGGTGAATATGGATGCTGATGCTGAAACATCAACAATCTCCTGACACTAAGTAAAACTGTAAATAAGAACAAAGACATGTAAATGGGCAGGTTATTTTCTCTTCATTTATTATAGCATTCTAGAAGTGTAACACAGGTTTTTTCACCTGCTTTGAAGTACCAGCTTTTGTTCTGAGGTGGTTCTCACACAGGGATTGTCCCCGCTCCCCATCTCCCTTTAGAGAAGACCACCATGCTGTGTCAGCAGTGCATGAACAGGGGTTCCTTCTGAAATTTCCTGTAATTAAGTTCACTTTTCTGTGTTACAGGGTAAACATGCTCAAACTTATTCTGTATACACTTTGGAAGTGATCATTTTTATAGCCAACCCCATGAAGCAATTTGTGTTTCAAAAATAAACTATGGTAAAGAATGTATTTTATGACACTTTTAGAATATTCCCTTGGGAATACCTTGATGTTTCAAATATTTGATGCACTCATTTTTTCCAAGAAAAAAGTAAACACAGATTTAAGAACAAATTTAAAATTTTGTTCTGAAAAAAGCTCAGCAGTCCAGATCTGGCCCAGGAGGTGAAGTGAGTTTGACATCACTGTCTTAGATGATTAGAACTAGCATAGCAGCACCTACACGCTTGTTTCAGCTGCTCTTGCCAAAGCTATGACAAGTATTCCTTTATCATATTTAGAACATGTATGCTGTGTGATCATCCCAGGAGCAAGATAGTTCCAAGATTGGGGGGAGAAACATTGGGATTATAGCCAGCTTTATGTCTTCTCTTTCTGAGTTGTACAAAGCACTTTCCTGCTGTTGATCATTGCAAAGCAAGATCAGTTGAAGTGACCTTTGGTCTTCTGAACCCCGTTTTGCACAGCATACAATTAACCCATGATATCTCATCTTTATAAGATAACTTGAAGGCCAAACGCATAGTAGGAGCAAAAAGAGAGTGACTGGATATACAGTGGTACAAGAGAAGTGATTTTTGAAGGATATAAATTACCAGAATTCTTCCTTGATCCTAATGACTGTTGTATCTTTTGCCCTATAAAAAACAATAAGACAAATCAATGGATAAATATCTCCACCCCTCGCTCCCTCCCTCCCTTCCTTCCTTGTTTTATAACCTGTTCAATAGTTTGTTCTATGGTAACCTGTAGACCATGGAAGCATCTCCAACTTGTCCTATGGTGACATTTTTACTGTGCCATGCTTTAGTACTCTCAAAAGGGCATCTACATTTGACCAGCATGTAGCATAGCACCCACAGGTGTCTACATGTGACCAGCAGCTATTTCACTTTAGTACCTTGTGGAAGTACTAAAGTATGGTGCAGTAACCACTTGTTTTGTGCCATACGTACAGTGAACAGTTCTTTTTAGCAGCTATTTTGCTGTAGCAAACACTGTAACAGGGGAGCGTGCCACTACAGCAAAGTAGCTACTGATCATGTGTAGATACTCATGGATGTTACATCACTGTAGAATCATGTATAGTAGTGCCCTATGAGTAGTTAGTGGGCGCATCTACACGTCGCCCTATGGTGATGTTGTTACTGAATCGTGCTTCGTGTGAAGCACAGTGCAGTAACCACCTGTACTACACCATACACATGGTTATTTTTAGTAGCTACTTCACTGTAGCAATGCATAACTGGGGATCATACTGCTACAGTGAAGTAGCTGCTGGTCACATGTAGACACCCATGTATGCTATGTCACCATAGCACATTGCTATATGTGATGCTATGTCACCATAGCACATTGCTATGGTGACATAGCATCACATATAGATGCACCGAACATGTCATCTTCTCTATTTACTCCTATAAGTGTTCTTATTCCATTAGTAATTTTTAACTTCCCTAGGCTTTATGTGGCAGAAAACTTTTGGAGTACAATGTCAGCAGCATGATACTCATGTTCATCCTTTCTGCCCAAAAATGCAATTAGTATCATGGTCAAGATATTTTTAACTAGCTTCAAGAACAAGTGACTTTTTAATATCAGTCACATGGTTGGCGGGGGGGGGTAGTTAGACCTTGAACAATCCTGGTTTTGTTCCACTCCAGATTTCTTGTTTGGCCTTGGATAAGTCATTTAGGCCCCTGGCAAACATGCAAGTAAAGGCTCAATGAGATCTGATGTGGGATCCCCAGAACTGCACTTCCTGCCATTCCATATGTGCATGGCAGGAGGCATAATTGTGGGATCCAGCATCAGATTCCACCACATCTGATTGCTAGTGGAAGGGGAATCCAGAATCATGATCCTGGGCTCCTCCTACACTGTCAAGTAGCAAGATCTGACCACTGAGAGCCCTATCACCTGATGACTCCCAGCCTTGGTTGCACATAGTATGCCCTTGCAGTTGGGCACCCCATCACCTGATGGGCTTGCAAACACACGTATAGTCCATTGCTGGGAGCCCCAGCCTGGCCACACATTCAAGTAATGGTGTGATAGGAAACAGTGTCACAGGATAGGGTCCTCAAGGGTGGCTGTATTCTCCTAAGGACCCTCGACCATGCCCATTTGGCCTGCTGGGCACCCTCAGTTCTCGCCCACTACATCTTTGATGGAAATATAAGAATAGGGAGGCTGCGTTTAAGTCCTCTTGGACACAGTTTGATGGACTCTCTGAACCCTATGGGTTCCCAGACCCCTTGTGGGTCCCATTTTACAATGGGTGTTTCAGGGCACCCTAGTCTTATGGGCTATATGCGTGGCTCCAACCACCCTTTTACCACGCCCCAAGCCTCGCAGATGGTACTGGTGTTGTCTCACCTAGGCCTTATTATAATTCAGCCCCTTGTCCTCACTGGGCTCTCCGCAGCCCTGTCTCCTTGCCCTCTCTGGCGCTGGGGTCTGTGTACCCCAAATGCTGCGCCCCCTCTGCCAGGGTCCCCACGCTGCAGTGGGTCCCCAATGAAGCCTACTCCTTCCCCAAATAACTTCACCCAAACCCCCGTCTTATAAAAGGGCAAACATAACATAAGCCCCTGTGCTATAACATAACACAAGCTACATAAGATGTGCGCAGCCCCTTTACATTACCTAGAGCAGAACTTAGTCAGCCCTCTTCCCTTCACTTACTCTAGGAGGGCTCCTTCTCCCTTGGTCACCAGCAGAGAATTGCCTCCTTGTCCCTGTCCTGGGGTTTATATGGGCCCAGGGCCCTGCCCCTTCCGGCCAGCTGACCAGGTGCAGGTGCCAGCTAATTTCCTCATTAGCTGGTTGTCATGGCAACCTGCACCTGGGCTCCTGTCTGGCTCTTGGGTTCTCCCCAGGCAGTTTCTGCTCTTTTAGGAGCAGGCACCTAAGTACCCTGCGACAACCAGCTACAAAGTTATTACACACTTTTTGTGTAATAACTTGGTGGCTTGTTCCTTGTCTTATCACACCATGGATTGCATTGATGTGTGGCTGGGTAACAATTTCAGATGAGATGAACTGGTTACTTGTGTCTTCAGTGTTATGTATCCTAAGGTCCGGAGGGACAGATAAAAAATAAGACTTAAGCATTTTCAAGTTAGGTGTACCACAAAGGCTAGGATCTGAAGTCAAATCTTAATTGACCTCAAATGGTCTTCCACTCAGGCACTGCAAGTCCAAAAAACTGGATTACATGTTTTTAATTTAGGTGTCTAAAGTTCACACAAACCCCATTTTGGGTACCTAAGCCATTCTTTTGACTTGGCCTTTAATTTGTCTGTTTTCCATTTTCTCATTTATACTCTGACTTCAGCTTTCCTGATTATACCCTGACTTTAGCTTTCTTGAGCATTGTGAAAAAAAATTCATTGAAGAATTTGAGATGTTCAGATACTACCATGATATAGGTACTAAAGACTGATTGATCATGGTGCCTCTGCATCAGTAGAAAAAATCAGCCATTACTCTCAATAAATTAACCATTTTCTCCAAATATAATTATCTCCTTTGCATTGTACTGTGATTGCCTGTATGTGTTAAAAATTATTTACCTCCATTGCTTTGACTTTCTTCCTTTCCCATTGTAAATTAGGAAGTTGTTATTGTTGTTGTGAGACAAAATATTTCATGTTAGCTTTAACAATGAATAGGAGAAACAGTTACCAGTGGGACTACTTGCCATCCTTAATAATAATAACCATTATTATTGTTATTATAATTATTCACTTACAGATAAACAGGCATATATCCCAAGGCAAATACATCGACATTTAACATCAGAACCTAGCTGGCTTTGAGAACACTGGGAACTTCTGAGTACTGATCACTTTTGAAAATCTGGTTCCAGTTTTGAAGCTAAGCTCTTTCAAAAATCTAGGTATTATTTATTAAGAAAACAGAAATGGACTCTCATTAATATAAACAACTTACATTATAAGAATCAAAGATTCACATGGGAGAGAGATAGAGAAAATGTATGTGAAATATGGAGGGAGTAACTTTGATAGGTTTAGATATAAATGCTCTAGGCAATGTAATTCTTGAGGTTGGTTTTTGTTTGTTTGTTTCTTTTACAAAGGTGGTCTTGTTCCGATACATGGTTTTGAAAAGCAGGATTCATTGAACCTTTTGATCCATTTGCTTTTAATAGTAAAAGTAGTTTTGTCAGATGGACACTGAGCAATTCCAATTACAGCTTATTGTTCCAAAAAATTCTTTGTGCATGTTTGTAATAAAAAGAACACAGGATACTCAATACCATCAAATTTGACGCTGAAAGCAGTGTAGCAGACTCCAATGTGTAGTGTATAGTGTTTTTCAGTTTAATTTTTTTAATGCATTGCCTGGGGACTGTGAGCTAATGCTGTTTTCATTGCAAACTTCCCATTTGAATGCCTGTTTGTTATTTAAAGTTTATAAGGCCCGGTAAGAAAAGAACCCCAAATTAAGTGTGCCCAGAATATAAAAACTCTCTTTTATGAAAAAAGATAAGGTTTCAAAATTTGTTATTATTCTGATGAAGAATAAAGTTGAGAACTTTTGAAATCATTCTTAGAGGGACAGAGGCCTTGCAATCTTCCAATATTTAGCAGTTTGGTGCTTAAGGTACTACATGATACCTG